ATCTGAAGCAAATCAACCTTAACCATTTATACTTGGGCTTACTCACTCAGAAAAATGATTAATGGAAAGGCATTGACAAAAATAACACTGTTTCTGGGCTGAAATCTTTCGCATGAAATACTTTCTTCAGAACATGGATAAGAAATTTTAGTCACACTGTCACGGCGTGTGTTCATCAATTTATAAATCTCAAGACCTGGGCACATGCTAAATTTCAAACTTATCATTTGAGGCTGCCACACTGACACGCCATCAGGCACTGCACCAATTCTCCTATCCAAAAAACTTTCAGCAGCTACTGGAATTTTTGATCAGCACGGTACCTCCTAAAGAAAAGAAATCAGAGGTTTTTAATAGCCATACTGCCAGGAAATGCTGCAGACAGAGGAAGAGAGACAATCACTTCCTGGATGGAAAAGCAGGGCTGTACTAACGCTGCACAAAGCCGGACAAAGCTAACAACACCGGGACAATGCACTTACTCCCATTACTAATTTATTACATTATTTTGCTACTGTTCTTGGCTCTTTTCATGCTCCATACAGCTCAACATAACTCGGTGCAACCTAAGGATTTTTGCCACCCATTCTACTAGCTCTGAAACCTTCCGACAGCCTTTTTTCCAAGAGAGAAACTTTAAAAGCTCCATTAACACTATATCTTTGAAGGCAATCCTGACACCTACACATTTTTAAGCAGCAGCCACTAAACACTGAGAAAATGCTCTCTAAAACTCTATTTTTTCCCCCGTCCTCAAAGAAAATGAGATACTTGGCACTCTTCTGACCAAATCTGACAGAAAGACAGAGGTCTGAGAGATATTAAACACCTGTTAAAATATGAGTCTGGGGTAAGGACGAGCTCAAATGCTACATCCCACCAACAAAGTCAAAAGGGTGTCATTCATTACCCCACAGCAGCATATGCTACTGTCCCACAGTAGGGAGCGTCACGCAGCACACAGTAAACATGAGGCTTGTCCAGTGAAAACGGCAGAGGACATAAGATAAAAACTATGCTGGTTTAGTTCCACTTTTCATGTGATTTATTGAAATAAAACAGCTATGATTTTGTCCATAATGTTTGTGGCCTATTGCTGTTTCCCCCAAGAGTTTGCATCTCACAAATACAGAATAACAGGAGAAAACTTCTTTTGAAAGGAAATCAGTTTTGCTGTAGCTAACTTTTTACATGGAGATGGAAAAGTTAGCTGACTGTTCCTCTGTATCTCAAGTATATATACCAATTATTCATTACACAGCACTGCCTCCCCTTTATTTTCTTTTTGATTCTTCCTTATCTCCACTGCAATTAGCTAGTATATAATGAAGTAGCGTAACAGCAGATCAGAGTGAACAATATGAACAAAAGAATTGAGACCACAACCCAGCTTTCATGAAGATGGACTTAGGTGAAGTATCAAGAGCAGCAGAGAGTGCTGTAATTTCTGAATTCAACATTTCGTAGTTTTCCAAGAAACATCAGAAAGCCTTCGAAAATCGCATATCCAGAAGAAGATGTTGGAAGATTTCCACACATATCATTCCTCGTGTGTTTAATAAAGAGACAGAAAGCAGAACGAGACTCTAAAATGCACTACATTTCTGTCCTGGGAGCTAGTAACATGGGGTGGTTCCTGATTTATTGCAAGACTCCCTGAAAACTTCTGCTTCATTTCCCTAATAAGAATTTTTAAAACTTGGAAACAACAGTTCGGCACACACAAAAAAAGTACGAGTTATGCCAATAAAACAATGTGTTAAGTTTAACAGAAAAGCCAACTTATCACTGAACGCAAACCTGACACGCGTTACAAAGCGAGCCTCCTGCCCCCTAACGCAGCTATACGGAGGGATGATACTGCATCCCTCCCATCTTGTAAGCAGCCACGCACAGCGCTGCCCACAGCATCAAATTCCACACCCCAGTCAAGGCAGGCCATGGCATGTAGCTGTGAATCCAGCTGCTGCGCTGTAACGACACAACCCCATCACAAGCTGACACAGAAGCAAGCTCCTCGGTCCACGCTGTCCTTGTTTCCATCGCATGGCCACCTAAGCACATGTCAAACTGACACGTCTTAGGAAGTTAATTTAATTTTGAAAGCACAAACAGCACAAAGCAATCAAACTGCGTGAATTTATAATACACAGCTCGTACGCTTTACTGTGTGTACTGCTGCAAAACAAATTTTGATTATATTAAATTCACACACCAAATTAATGCAAGAAACTAAATTACCAGAAAAACTGTAAACAAAATTCACTGTAGAGTTGAAAAGATCACAAACCATAAGGTATTTATTGGAAAAAGAATGAGTCTGCTTAACTGGCAGCCTAGCACCATCTGCTTGACATGCTTCTGCTACATACAGCGATTTTGTTAGTGGTAAACCTGGGATTATTGTAGTGGCAGAAAGAGGTTGAAGAATCTCATTCAGATGCCGACGCTGAAAATCACTACCCAAAATACTAACTCTTGCTGGCAGCTCTCCACTGCCATCTGCAACATAAGGGGAAGAGGGAACAATACACAGTTGATACAACAGAAACATCCAGGCAGGCTGTAGTCAGAAACAATCAACAAGGGATAAAGGTTTTATGAATGAGACAGGGAATTCAGTGATACTGATGTGTTACTAACATCAAGTTAAACACATACACCCCTAACTGTTGAGTCATATAGGCCACAGACTGCTTAAAGAACAAAACGCCCTCAGTGCTTTATTGGCACGATGCATTTGATAATGTGCATCTTCCAACACCAACAAATATTTGGGGCAGAGAATCCAACAGTCTTCGAGACCTCTATCTAAATCACGTTCAGACTGTCTGAGAGGGCATCAGCATAAATGTGCACACCCAGAATTAAAGATTAAACACCAAGCTCACCCTTAACAGATGGGACAGATTTCCAGTGGTTAGAGATTAAAAAAATAACTTCAGGTCTGACAAGTCCCATGAGAAACTCAAAATAGTACAATTTACAGAGGAGAGTATTCACTGAACACGAATTAATGATTCCTAAAGGGGCCATGTATTCCTGAAAAAGTTTATAAAGTCTTTTGTGCACAAACCACAGTAAGTAGTTCAGCTTATGCACATGAACTTGAAGATTTCTAATATAACGACAAAAACAAATAACATCTAAAGAAGGTCCCTTGAGAAATAAATATTGATATAGAGTATTTAGCAAAAACACTTGTGTAATATTCTAGTTACTTGCTCTATGATCCAAACAGTTACCCCATGTACTTAATTTCTTTTGATACATAGGTTAGCCATAAACAACCTTTTAAACATGTGACTGGGAAGCCTTCAAAATCACAGGTAAAGGCAGACACAGCACCTATTTTAAGAAAAAATGCATGGAAAAAGGGAACAGGAGAATGTCCAATGGTCAGCATGTTCAGCATCAGCACAAAGACCAATAAAGGAATTCTGAACTGGGGCCCAAACACTGTATTTGGGCATCTAAAAAGGAAAGTTCTTCTGGAAAATGTTGAGTACATCAGTTGTTCCTAACTGGACAGGTGACTGTTACAGCAAAAGGAGCAGAGCACTCACATTTATGCTGAAAATTAAAAGGACTTTTGAACTTTTCAAACCAGATATCAAGAAACATACTGGGTTGTGTATAATTTTGTATTTTTAAATACAAATAAGGTATCTTTTAAAAAGGTTAGACTATATTTCACAGAAGTAATTATGCTCAGTGAACAACTGAGGTAGCCATCTGCATTATGCAAGAAGCACAGCTACATGAGCAGAGTGTACCCATCTTACATAAAAAAATCTCCAACTCTGAACCCTTATGGCAGTACGAACAAACCCCACCCTGTTTCATAAATGCACCAGCTGAAAGATATCATAATAAAATGCAATTACGGCTTAATGATTTTAACTTAAAACACAACATAAAAATAGCAGTACTGAAAGTAAAAAAAAGTAAAGCAGAGAGCAAGTAGTGGCATAGTAGAAAAAGGGTAATGTTTCTGGGATTGGGGGTTTTTTCCTTACCTCACATGGACATGTCCCACAACATAAAGCAAGGAATTAATTTTTGCTACAAAGCTCTGAATTAGTGCACCTGAAACACTGCATTGAGTATAACACTCCAAAATATGTATACAAAAAAATTTTCAGCAATCTAGAGTGATAAAGAAGATCAGAAGATGGAAAAAGAGACTGACAAAAGATGAATGAAATTAGTATATCTTGACTAGAATGGTATGACATGTGAAAGTTGCCTATACACTTTTGTAAGGGAGAATAAAAAATAATTATTTAAAGAAGTATTACATTTTTTTCTAGCTATAAAAATATGAATGAGGAGGGCAATGTTGTTAGACAAAACAGCCTTTTGATAAGCGTATTTCTCTGTCTGGAATCATCTCCACACTAAAGTGACAGGCACATCACGATGTAAGTATTTAAAACCATATTCGGCACCTCATCCATAAAGGTACTGCAGGTCAAACCTGCTCTCTCCTCAGAGTGGATTAGGTTATTTGACAGATTTTCCATCTCCAACTTCTAACCCCAAAATAAGCACAGATATTATTCTAGCAAGAGTCTCTAAAAAACAAGCACATAAAACAAACTCCATTGTTTTTCTGGTGAATAAAAGGAGAACAAGAAGCAATTAGAATGATGATGAACTCATTAACTCAAAACAACCATATAAATAAACGTAAAGCAAGTCTAAAGAACATGTCTAAAACAGCTGATGAGACTTTTCCAGAAGACGGATGAATCAGTCTGGTTTAAGTCACAACGAAATGTGGAAATAGTTGCAGACTGTCCGTAGCCCAACGTCTCCTTCTAAATAACATCATGAAACTGGTACAAAAATTACCTTCAAGATAAATTAATTCTACATTCATAAACAGCACAGCGAGGTCTTGACAGCTCTACAGAAAGCTGCAGCGCTCGATGCCAAAGACAGGGATTTACGTTATTTTAAAAAGCACACTGATGAGTAATCTGTTCTTTCCTTACCATCGTACTTTATTGCACGTCTGTGTAGCGCCAAGAGGAGAACCTGCCACCATGGGGACTTGGATGGGGCTATGCTGTTTGTTCATGACAAGATCCAACTTCTCTTCCAATGATTTACAGGTAGCCTCCAGCGCCAGCAACTTTGCCTCAATGCTATCCAACCGCAGGCATATTGTCTGATTAATGGAATACAGGAATGACTAGAAAGGGGAGAATGCAAAAGAAACTGATTTTAGAGACCTACGCATTTATCTTCAGCAGCATACACATAAGGAAGCTCCAGATAAATGTGACTGGAAAACAATTGTAAAGGAACTAGCAGCGTGCCTAGTGACAACATTCGGCCACGTACAAAACTGATGACATCCAGGAGCATTTTAGCATGCTCAAATTCTTCTAGATCTTTATTTAGAAGCCAAAAGCATCCAATCCAAACACATTTTCACCTAAGTACTTAGTTAGTATGATTTCATACACCACAAAATCATTTGCAATGACATGCCAAAGCTTTTCATTTGATACATATAAAAACAAAAGGATTATAAATCTATGAACGCATCCTCCTGGATAAAGTTAAATAAGATATTTTCCTGCCCAAACAGATAAAATTCAGATGATTGCAGTGGAAATTATCTCAACACAAATAACCTCAGAGACAATTAATGCCACTCACTTAACTTGTCTTCTGAACAGCAAATCAAGAAAAGCAAATAAATAAAATCTGTTTTCCAAAGCACTTTGGAAAAAAAGGAAAGCATATTCTACTTCTTTTCTCTTGGGAAAAATAGGCCATTAGAGGGTAACGTTACACACATTTTTATTTGCAAACGGCAACTATGCCACCTCGTGGCCCTCCGTTACAATGTGCACACCTAAACAAGCTGGTGTACAGCGCTGTCACCGGGGGCTCTCTCCACACAGAGCTCCCGACTTCAAAAACACTTCAAAAACACAGAATTGCACACTAGTTAACGTAGGTGGCAGTAAAATACTACTCATTTACCCACACTCCAGACAAAAAAACAACGTTAAAGCACAATAGTGAGAACAGCAAGGGAAGTTCTGCAAGTACAAAGAAGCCTGAGGTACTGAGTCTGAACCAAATACAGTTTAACTATTAGGAGAATGTTGTTAGCTTAAAATAATAATTTAAAACATGCTGAATGTATCTAAACATTGTTGTACAAATACATGGTCAAGTTTATCTTTTGGGTCAATCGTATTCACTTTATCTGCCAATAGTGGTGTTTGAGTCACTGGAATTAAATTGCGATGATATTTTATATTACATATAAAATTCTTGCTACCGATTTTACACTGGAAAATTAGCCAATCATCTAGATTTTTAAACCTATGCACAAAAATTAACAGCCATTTACAAGAAGGCTATGAATAAATCCTGTATGAACAGTTTATTTTACGTTCTTTTAATATATTTCCCTAAGAAAGTGAACTTAATCGGTATTACAAACAAGAACAGACAAATGCATTATCCTAACCTTAATAGAGGGGTCCTGGCAGTTAATTTCTATACGATGACGTTTTAGAGCAGGCTCTACATCATCATCTGTCACTTCATGGTTCTCCAACACAACTGCAAAGAAAAATAAGCAGTCATAGTTTATAATACAAGAGGACAAGACCTGAATTAAAAATACATTAAATAGATAAAACAAATAAACGTAAAAGGCATTTCATTAACACTGTATGCATTCTATTACACTTGCTTAGGTTTCCTCTTAAATATATGACAACGGTTTACTGATTGTCAAAAGACACCCAAATCTAAGACTCTGTTTAAAATGCACTGAGGATCTAACACTCAAGCATTATCCTGGATTTTATTGGGTTTTTAGGAACTTATCAGGAGGCAGCAGCGTAGCCACATTAGCTGTTCTGCTTTGACAGATTCTGTAGGCTTCTGAACCCTCATGTTCATACAAAACTGTAAAAAATACTCCTGAAGTTCTGCACAAAGTTAGAATTACACCCACTACTTAGTGTAGCAGTGAGTTATTTTTCCCCAATACACATGAACAAAATCCTGCAAGCTTTCCAAAATAAATACTTACATGCACAGACCTATGGGTTTTTTCATTGGAAAGTGAACATATTGAAGAAAACAGTAACAAAAAAGAACTGAATTTAGAACTGGAAGGGCTGGCCAGTAAAATCATGAGGTAGAGCCCTGACCAGCCTGAGATTGGTAAAGGAACTCGAGCCTGCTCCAAACTGAGCGAAGGAAGAGTTGTTTAAGGTTGACACTTGGCTGACAATCCTGAAGTCAAGTTACTAACCAGGCTGGGACAGGTGCGTCCCAGCTTCTCCAGCTCTCTGGGAATATTTCTGATGTAACTTCTTTGTTTCCTATCAGAAAAAGTTTTTTGATACATGTTTCTGTTTCCCGTAACTGCAGTTACTGTAACAACAGTAACATTGATCAACTGTAACAACACAAGATCAATGCCTATAGCTGATCTCAACTCATTTTCACTTAGTAGGTCAAGTTCAAAGCAAGGGATACCACAATATTTGCTTTCAGAAGCGGTTTTCAATTTTACTGTAATTTTGCTACACATACAAAGAATTTTAACAACGTATGAGATAAACTGTTTTACAAGTAAACCAATTCATAACAGCAGGGTGACAGTTCTCATTTGAGGGAAAGTCAAAACATACATTTGGTCTGGAGGAAAACAAAAGATTGCAGAAAGCCATATTTCATTCAAAGCTTTTGGTGCTAGTCTACCCCTGCACAAAAAAAAAACCAAACAAACACCCAGGCAATAAAGCCTTTAAAAGTAAAATAAAAAGTAATCTGATCTAAAGAGTATTGAAGATGTACAAGTTAAGCTATTGAAACCCAGGTATGTCGTCTTAAGAAGCACATTAAAAATAAATCTGCAGCACTGCTTTATATTCTTAAGAAAAGCTCAACAGTGATTTCCACTTTGCTAATGGGCAATACTATAAATGATCCTTCTCGTGCCGTCATTACCATCTCTACTGTACCTGGGTTATCTGGAGTCAAGTCTTCAACAGCAATCTGAACAACATCTGCCAAATCCTGTTCTGACATCATTCAGAACCAGGCAGCAATACCCAGTCAAACACCACTGCAGGCCCCCAAGTAAGTAATTTTAGCGGTCATGCAACCCTGAAAAACAGCAGCAAGAAGAGTGTTAATACAGATATACTTGATATATCAGTACCGTGTTTATTTTTTCATTCTTCCTCTACAAAAGGAGATGCAGTTCCTAACAGAAGTGACCAACCTACAAAATTATCATCCAGTGCTATCAACTGACACTTCACTGGGTAGCCTCATGGAAGAGCCAAGGACTGAACTACCTGCATCACGTCTCTGAGTTATCTTTCCATACCAGGACTGAGACAAGAGCTCAAGCTTTCCTTGCTGGTTCACCTTTTTTCATTTTCCCAATGGACAGAGAAGATTTAGCTTCAGAGATTTGGCAGCTCAACGGTATAAAATAAAAAATGAAGTGTTCTCTTTTAAATTGATGTTTTGTTTTAGAAGTTTTAAGAGCATACAAGACCATTCCTAAATTGCACAGTTTTAATTTACAAATTATAACTTAGCTCTTGGAAGTGATCAGGCTTCAGTCTTGATGTCGCAAAAGCATACGAATCTCCCAAGCCACATTAGATCTGCAATTACTGCATTCTGTACAGACCTGTACGCACATACAATCCTTACAAGTATGCGTTTTAACAGGCTCCTAAAGTCTTCATAAACATTCAGTGAGAACAGGGAGCTTCCTCGCAGCTAATTACAACTAGACTTGAAACAGAACTTGACTTTTTTCTCTTGGCTATTGAACTTGCCTGGTTTTTCTACAGCTCAATTCTGAGGAAACTATTTTCAGAATATGGTCCTGATTTTAAAGCCAAAATATTTCGCAGCTCTGCTCCCTTGGAATTCTCTGTCAAGGTTATTTATTAGTGTTTTAAGAGAAACCTTCAGCCTGTAAAATGGAATTAAAATCACTGGAACCATTCATATCTGTGCTTTCCCACAGTTTACAAAAGGATGGACAATGAATACCAAGAGATCAGCCAATTTTTTTTGTTTGCTTGTTGTGTTAACCTGAAGGAAAACATTCTAAAAAGATAATCTGAGGTTTACCAATGGAAATGGTAATTCATCCCTTAACACCAGCACTGAATCAAATCCAACTATGCATAAAGATTTTCCTCTTTCCCTCTGGCACCTGAGCACAAGAAACCCATTAAGCCAGACAGGTGGAGTACAAATTTTTGAAGAGAGCAACAAAACCTCCAGAAGGATTTTAAAACCGGCCTGAGCAACCGCTGCTACGTGCTGTGAAAGCCCATCTCAAAAGGAGGACTCCCCACCTATCAGAATTGTTTACTCAGAATACCAGCACAGCCAATACTGAGTCATTTGAAATTCTGATCGCGGTGAAAAAACTGTTGGGACAGCACAGGCTGTGGCAGCATGCCCAAAAAGAACCTGGCAATACATTAGTGCATATGGATGCCATTTTGGCAAATTACATTTGCCATTTCTGAGAAATCCTGGTAACCAGCCAGGCTTAACATAATAAAACAGCTGTGCTACAGTTACTGTTTCATAATGTCACATACTGCTGGTAATATTAAGAACTCTCAACTTGAAGGAAGACATCTGCCACTCCAAACACTAAAAAACTACAAACTAGAACAAAACACAACTTTTAAAGCTTTGTCTATCTGCACGATTCAAGATTACACTGATAATTCCTGTGTTGTGATTAAACCAATTATAGCTACAACTACATTAATGTTTTATAAAACATTCCAAAGGATTTGCAGTGCTTTTGTTTAAATCCACTTCAGTACTTTAGGTGATGCACATGTCAGCCTTCTAAAATCCATTATCTAAAATAAATAAATATATAAATAAATAAAAATTTCACTGAAATGAAACCTTTCTTCCACACAAATAAAAAATAATTTCACACTTCTGATCTGTTTGCCATCTCTCATGGGTCCCAGTCTCAGAGTGTTCAACCTCACATCAGAAAAGTACCACCAAAATACTCTGTCCAAAGAGTCTTTAAACAAGGGCATAAGAACCAAACTGACTGGCCGAACAGCTACTACACACACAGCGCAATGTGTCTTCATAACATTCGTATTTATTTCCATTTACACCAAGTTTATTACGATTTCAGTAAGTCAGACACAGCTCACAGGCAGCCAGCCAACATCCTGACAGAACACATTTTTGCCTTCTCAACAGGCAGAACACAATACACTCCTGCTGTCACCAGACGCGCTGAGCTCCCGTATCGAAACATAAGGGGAAAACAAATAAATCTGAGATTACTGCTAGATGTGTGGATTAGGAACGCAATGCCCAGCTAAGCTACAGTGGGTACTGTGACCACAGCAGCTACCACAAGTTTAAATAAAGCGCTTCTCATCCAAATTCAGAATTGCAATTTAGCACATAAAATTTCAGCAGTGGTCTAACCTTGCTTTCAGAACAAAGGGTAAAAGCCTGATAAAATTTAACAGGTTTGGAGTTCGAGTTAGATTAGTTTATCAGTTTTTAAAAGCCTCAGTCAATAAATCCAGAATAGCAACTTTGCCAATGTTGTTTCCACATCTTTTACTCGGTGGAGTATTTATTTACCAGCACTTGCTCGCATAAAACACTTATCTTGAAATTTGCTATATGCTCCCAGCCTTTTTTTTTTTTCCTTCTCCTTTCCTTTTTCTGGCTAAAACCCTAGTCCCCATTAATTATAAGTTAAGTATATGTACATTGGCATTAGGAAGATAAAGCTGAAATATTACCTGGAAGAAATATTAAGCTATAAGAAAGAAATATTAACAGACAGCCAGGAAGCTGAGGATAAACTACAACAGGGACATGAAACGTGTCCATTTTTTCCTCCCCCAACAAGCACGTGGAAGTTATATCAATAGGGCAATATTTTATAGTCAATTTGCCATTATCTGGGGTTGGGGTATGGGAAGACAGCTTATACCAGACAACGGAAAATACCTCCCTAACACACACACTACAGGAGGCCTTGGGCAGCCAAACTCACACCGGCTCCAGTGGAGCTACTGAGGTGGATCTACACTGCAACCATCCATTTTTCCAGCAGGCTTTTTGGGGGTTGGAAGAGACCACTCCAACTCTTACCCAACACAGAAACCGACAAACAAGTTAAGATGTGTATCCAAGGGATTTCTCCCCACCTCCATTCCCACTCTGGCCCTGGGTACCTTCAAAACTCAAATGTTTCCACCTCTTATATCAGGTGGCCAGTTCCCAGATGAGGTCCTCTCCTGCTCACCCCTTCCCCAACCCAGGCCAGACACTGCCTTGCTAATCCTTCCTAGGAAACCCACCAGAAACCCATTCCTGTTGTACAAAGCAGTGCAAAGTAAAAATTGTCTCACCTTTTAATCACAGTGATTAACGGGAATAATCACACATAGCAAACATCCTGCATTAGTTCCTTCTTACCTCTCAAAAGAAACATTTTTTCAGACTTTGAGAGAACAGTCCTAAAATTCCAAGACAGAACAAGCATTACTGTGGAGTAACTTCTAATAATAAATACAGCCTATTTCATCACCCATCAAAACTGAAAAACATTCATTTCCCTATTTATCTATTATGAGTTTAAAGACAAACACTTCTCCCTGCTCTTAGCTTTTCATATTCAGAAATTAAGTCAAAAAGGAGAGCAAAAAGCTCAGAGCATTCCTACAACCACTTGATAGGAGGTGGCTCTAGTACTGAAATCCTCAGAAAAAAATAATCAGACACAACTAAAAGTATGAATTTAAAGAAGATGAAGTGCACTAGATATCTCTGCCAATACCCTTACTCAGAACTGATACACTTAATGCAGAATTAAAGTAGCCTTTGTTTAATTAAGTACATTAATATTTGTAAGCAACTAAATTCACCTGCATTCCAGATTAGTTTTTCCATGCACAAGTTTAATGCAATTTAATTTATCTATTTTAAAACATTCATTCAGAATAACTCTTCTGAGCAAGTCCCTTGTAAACAAACCTATTTACTAAAATATCTAATGGCTTTACGAAGTCACGGGCATCATTCCAAAGCGTCTAATCAAAAATATCCAACACCTTGTTAACATATAAAAACATGCAGAAAACATAAATCTTCTCTCTCATACTAATTAGCGAGGGTAAACACTTTTTTTTTTAAATAACAACCCACAGAATACATTTTCCAAAGCTCTAGTCTACTTAGCGAGTGTTTAACTGAACTTCTCTTATTTGAGCAGCTAATCCCTCCACTGGCCAGTATTTCTCAGTGCTATTGATAAATGAAAAAACTCCTCATACTTCAACCTGCACTATGACAAAAATTTACTTCTGACTGTGTAAAATAAGCTGAAGGACAACATTTCACTTTGCCCAGCTCCAAATGTTTTTCCTCTTCCTCATTCCCCTTCTCCTTTAAATTAATGAAGGCAAATTTTCAACGGGGTCATTTCTGTTACAACTTATGTTCTTCGCTATACAAGCACTATTAACCAATCAGCCCATTTTTCTGAGCCCTATCTACCCTGAATGGGACAAACTAGTGTCATTCTCTCACAGAGCTATGATTTGCTGACACGTTTTCCAAACCAGCCAGATGATGAAGGCCAATCTAAGGATAAGAACCTATTTTATACATGCATGCAAGTGTATTAATCCTCTGAGAGGACAGCGTTGTGCAGAAGTAAAATGACCTTATGCTGTAAAGGGATTACAGCAGAAAGATCATCTTCCCACTGAAAGTGAAGATCCAGAGGACATAATACTTGTTAACTCTCTCCTTTAGTTAAGTCAGTTCAACTCTGCTGAGTACTTCTCCCTCCAGGGAAACAGCCCAGAAGGACCACTGAGCTTTAAATCTCTGTGCAAAGACTAATCCACACTAAGAATGCCTTTGTGCAGTTCAGTTTAATCCACTCTGAAAAACCAGCAATAAGGCACTCCAAGTACACAACAAAACATTTCACATGCTAGTGTTAAGAAAAAGCAGCATGCTCAGGTGACAGATAACCCTGGCTAAGCGGCAAACCCATCTCCTGCACTGAGCGCCCCGTGTGCCTTCACAGAAACCATCTGGAAGAGTAGTGCCATGGG